TATATCCGGTCTCCCAGGACCCCGCATTCACTTTATCCGGTCTCCCAGGACCCCGCATTCACTTTATCCGGTCTCCCAGGACCCCGCATTCACTATATCCGGTCTCCCAGGACCCCGCATTCACTATATCCGGTCTCCCAGGACCCCGCATTCACTTTATCCGGTCTCCCAGGACCCCGCATTCACTATATCCGGTCTCCCAGGACCCCGCATTCACTATATCCGGTCTCCCAGGACCCTGCATTCACTATATCCGGTCTCCCAGGACCCCGCATTCACTATATCCGGTCTCCCAGGACCCCGCATTCACTATATCCGGTCTCCCAGGACCCCGCATTCACTTTATCCGGTCTCCCAGGACCCCGCATTCACTATATCCCTCCCAGGACCCCGCATTCACTATATCCGGTCTCCCAGGACCTCGCATTCACTATATCTGCTCCCCGGACCCTGCATTCACTATATCCGGTCTCCCAGGACCCTGCTCCCTCCCAGGACCCCGCATTCACTTTATCCGGTCTCCCAGGACCTCATTCACTATATCTGGTCTCCCCGGACCCTGCATTCACTATATCCGGTCTCCCAGGACCCTGCATTCACTATATCCCTCCCCGGACCCTGCATTCACTATATCCGGTCCTCCCCGGACCCTGCATTCACTATATCTGGTCTCCCCGGACCCTGCATTCACTATATCTGGTCTCCCCGGACCCTGCATTCACTATATCTGGTCTCCCCTGACCATGCATTCACTATATCTGCTCTCCTCAGACCCTGAATTCACTATATCGGGTCTCTCCACAGTACACACAACATGCTAAAGCAATTATTTTAGTAAATATAAACTGCTAAATACCTTTTCTTATCAGCAGTATATAGCAGTCTTGTGACTTCTATCAGTATCTAGCAGAGCACTGGTTAAAGCTTGCAGGAGGAGTTTGCAGTCTCCCCTGATTGTCCTATGAGGCTGCATAACCCCTGACCCATTTAACTGGACAGTGCTAATTGGCCCTGTGCTGATCACATGCACTCCAAGAAAAAAAAAAAACTCTCTAGCAATACACACCAAACTGGGCATGTGTAACTTGCCCCCAAGGCTCTAATCTATCAGGAGATGGATTGGGGACAGTAGAAGGGGAGGATCAGAGAAGACCGGATCAAACTGCCTTTTTACACAATGCAGAGGATTATCCCCTTAGGTTCCACAGTGAGTATAACAAGCATGCTTTACTGTATATACAGACTGATTGTACTGTTGTGGGTTTAGTAACACTTGAAGCTCACCTGAGACATAAGCTCTAACCTTCATATACAGTGTGCAGAAATCTCTTCGGGTTAATTAGGAAAACCTCATTGATGCGTCACTGTAGGTTACCTACCTTTTGGATATGCTGTTAATTCTGTTTATTTAACCCAGAGGATGTCAGGTGTGACGACACAGGTGGGGGGCGGAGCCTGTTGTGACATCATGCTGTAATCAGAAGTCCGCAGGAGGCCATCTTCCTTACCAGCCGGATAGTCTGTTTACTTACGAAATTGCTATTTCTACATGTGAGTGCTTTACCGTTTTAATAAAGCAGTTTTGATGGTTTTACACTATGTCAGAATTCTGTTTCTAATCTCTGTATGAATCTTACGGATGAGTTACTAAGGAAATTCCAGTGTAGAGGTGTATGCTGATTGAAGCAGATCTACTGGGGACCATATAAGAGGACCCCCGTGGGATTACTATGCTGATGAGTTCTGTGATTTTTCTTTATTCGGAGGGTCATGGCTATCCCTAAGCCCTGCATGGTGTTGTATGCTGGAGGCCTTTCCCATTGTCTTCAGGATACCTCTCTCTTCAGTCTATATATCTGTAGATGTGTTTTTTTTTTTCATTTCTCCTTTGGACACCTATGTTTTTTTCAATTTTTTTGTATTCAAGTCACATTTATTGTTTATGAACATATTTGTTCTCCTATTTGGTCACTGCATTTATGATTTGTATTGCTATTGGAATCAGCGCAGCATGTTTTTACAATATTCATTACTATGCTAATATCTCATAGTATGTCTACAGCTCCTTCCATGTACCATTCATGTACACATCGCACTTCACAACTTTTGATATATGTTTATTTAACCTAACAGGTTGCCTTTAAATGTATAGCTTACTGTCTGCTCTCTTTAGAACAGCAGGTGCCACAAGAGGTCCTGCCACTTTCTGTAGAAAGGGCTCCATTGTGCCTATCTAAAAATTCTTTCAATTTGCTTGGGCACCCTCAAGTCGGGGCACAAGCTCTACCCCCACCCACCAGACTCCTGCTCCAAGACAGTGCCTGATATCTCAGATTGGGTGCTGGAGAGCATTTCTTGGACAAGGGAAGTAATAGAAGGCCCACTTTTTGGCAGCACAATTAGTTCTACACAGAATGGGACACAAGTTTACTCTACGTCTGGTATGTATCGTTATTGCTTTGCAAAATCTGGAAAGTGTAATCAGTGGGAGCTTAGGAGAGCAAAACTCTTATTCTGCTTTGTAAATCATATACCTAATAATCAGTAGCAAAGTGCCCCCTTACATTGGTGGTGAGCAGTAAAGTGTCTCCTTACATTGGTGATGAGTAGTAAAGTGTCTCCTTACAGTGGTAGTCAGTAGTAAAGTGCCTCCTTACAGTGGTAGTCAGTAGTAAAGTGCCTCCTTACATTGGTGGTCAGTAGTAAAGTGCCTCCTTACATTGGTGGTCAGTAGTAAAGTGCCTCCTTACATTGGTGGTCAGCAGTAAAGTGCCTCCTTACATTGGTGGTCAGCAGTAAAGTGCCTCCTTACATTGGTGGTCAGTAGTAAAGTGCCTCCTTACATTGGTGGTCAGTGGTAAAGTGTCTTCTTACTTTGGTGGTCAGTGGTAAAGTGCCTCCTTACACTGGTGGTGAGTAGCAAAGTGCCCCCTTACATTGGTGGTGAGCAGTAAAGTGTTTCCTTACATTGGTGGTGAGTAGTAAAGTGTCTCCTTACATTGGTGGTGAGTAGTAAAGTGCCTCCTTACATTGGTGGTCAGTTGTAAAGTGCCTCCTTACATTGGTGGTCAGTAGTAAAGTGCCTCCTTACATTGGTGGTCAGTAGTAAAGTGCCTCCTTACATTGGTGGTCAGTGTAAAGTGCCTCCTTACATTGGTGGTCAGTGGTAAAGTGCCTCCTTACATTGGTGGTCAGTGGTAAAGGGTCTTCTTACTTTGGTGGTCAGTGGTAAAGTGCCTCCTTACATTGGTGGTCAGTGGTAAAGTGCCTCCTTACATTGGTGGTCAGTGGTAAAGTGCCTCCTTACATTGGTGGTCAGTGGTAAAGTGTCTTCTTACTTTGGTGGTCAGTGGTAAAGCGTCTCCTTACTTGGTGGTCAGTGGTAAAGTGCCTCCTTACATTGGTGGTCAGTGGTAAAGGGTCTTCTTACTTTGGTGGTCAGTGGTAAAGTGCCTCCTTACATTGGTGGTCAGTGGTAAAGTGCCTCCTTACATTGGTGGTCAGTGGTAAAGTGCCTCCTTACATTGGTGGTCAGTGGTAAAGTGTCTTCTTACTTTGGTGGTCAGTGGTAAAGCGTCTCCTTACTTTGGTGGTCAGTGGTAAAGTGCCTCCTTACTTTGGTGGTCAGTGGTAAAGTGCCTCCTTACATTGGTGGTCAGTGGTAAAGTGCCTCCTTACATTGTGGTCAGTGGTAAAGTGCCTCCTTACATTGGTGGTCAGTGGTAAAGGGTCTTCTTACTTTGGTGGTCAGTGGTAAAGTGTCTCCTTACTTGGTGGTCAGTGGTAAAGTGCCTCCTTACATTGGTGGTCAGTGGTAAAGTGTCTACCTTACATTGGTGGTCAGTGGTAAAGTGTTTCCTTACATTGGTGGTCAGTGGTAAAGTGTCGCCTTACATTGGTGGTCAGTGGTAAAGTGTCTCCTTACTTTGGTGGTCAGTGGTAAAGTGCCTCCTTACATTTGGTGGTCAGTGGTAAAGTGTCTACATACATTGGTGGTCAGTGGTAAAGTGTTTCCTTACATTGGTGGTCAGTGGTAAAGTGTCGCCTTACATTGGTGGTCAGTGGTAAAGTGTCTTCTTACTTTGGTGGTCAGTGGTAAGGTGCCTCCTTACATTGACGGCCAGTGACAGAATTCTATGCAGTAACTCTTGCCCAGTGTATAGATGTGCCAGTCAACAGTAACTGCATCGTATTGATACAAACTTGAGCAGCTGATCGTTTTCCTGACGAGTGCTGTCTGTAGACATGCTGGTGAGGACACAACGCATATTATGAATTTTTTCCTAACAACATGTCCATGCCAGGACTATACCGTCCCCTGTGACTGCATACTTTCATCAACAAAACTATACAGTCATTGTTGGCCAGCAGATCAAGGCACTGGCCAATGCTAAATACAAACGTGTATCTCATTCATCCAATGGGCACACCTTTGTTGTTGCATTCTGCAAATACTTGCAAAAAATAAATATTAAAACATACAGCCAAAAAATAGCTTTTATTTTTTTCCTTGATCCAGAATGGTTGAAAATATGCAACACTTGCAACAGAAATTCTACCATGAATTCATAAAAAAAAAAAAAAAAAAATGTATTACTTGTACATACAAAATAAACAGCATGAATAAAAGACACAAAATGTCATCATCATACAAAACCATGCCAAGGTACAAAGACATCTCTGCCGTTATTCAAAAAGGCAGCAAACCGGAGAGAGAGAACCGTGTGGCAGTCTGTACCAACCAGTCGTGTACAACCTGGCCATTCAGAGCCGTCTATGATCAGTGACGATTATCGACACCATATTAAAAAGGCTGATGGCAACATTATGATATGAATGAAGTCGCATGTAAAACTCTTACGAGCAGGCAGGCCATTAATATCAGAATCTCATCATCTCTTCTCCATTAAATACACCAACCTGCCTTCTCGCCATCTCCGCCGACCTGCCTTCTCGCCATCTCCGCCGACCTGCCTTCTCGCCATCTCCGTCGACCTGCCTTCTCGCAATCTCCGCCGACCTGCCTTCTCGCAATCTCCGCCGACCTGCCTTCTCGCCATCTCCGCCGACCTGCCTTCCTGCAAACTGCTCCGACCTGCTTCTCGCCATTCTCTGCGACCTGTCTTCTCGCAAACTGCGCCGACCTGCCTTCTCGCAAACTGCGCCGACCTGCCTTCTCGCAAACTGCGCCGACCTGCCTTCTCGCAATCTGCTCCGACCTGCCTTCTCGCAATCTCTGCCGACCTGCCTTCTCGCAATCTCTGCGACCTGTCTTCTCGCAAACTGCTCCTGACCTGTCCTTCTCGCAAACTGCGCTGACCTGTCTTCTCGCAATCTCCGCCGACCTGCCTTTTTTTCGCAATCTCTGCTGACCTGCCTTCTCGCAATCTGCTCCCGACCTGCCTTCTCGCAAACTGCGCCGACCTGCCTTCTCGCAATCTCCGCCGACCTGCCTTCTCGCAAACTGCTCCGACCTGCCTTCTCGCAAACTGCGCCGACCTGCCTTCTTGCAATCTCCGCCGACCTGCCTTCTCGCAATCTGCTCCGACCTGCCTTCTCGCAATCTGCTCCGACCTGCCTTCTCGCCAACTCTGCCGACCTGCCTTCTCGCAAACTCCGCCGACCTGCCTTCTCGCAATCTGCTCCGACCTGCCTTCTCGCAATCTGCTCCGACCTGCCTTCTCGCCATCTCCGCCGACCTGCCTTCTCGCAATCTCCGCCGACCTGTCTTCTCGCAATCTCCGCCGACCTGTCTTCTCGCAATCTCCGCCGACCTGCCTTCTCGCAATCTCCGCCGACCTGCCTTCTCGTAATCTCCGCCGACCTGCCTTCTCGCAATCTCCGCCGACCTGCCTTCTCGCAATCTCCGCCGACCTGCCTTCTCGCAATCTCCGCCGACCTGCCTTCTCGCCATCTCCGCATACCCAGTTCAGTTTACATTACTGGCACAGTACCAGCATGCTGGGATGACTAACACGCCTGCGCATGCTCGGGTGTTACATCATTCCAAGCTGGCCAATAAAGACGGCTGAAGCCTTTCTTTCCCCCTCTCCTACATCCGTTTCTTTGGGGCACATCTGCAGCTTTAGTTCTACTTTATGGGAGGCCAAAAAAAATTAAAGCCCAGGTGCAATTTCAAGAAAAGTTTTATAAATAAAGTCAATGTGCATTCAAGGACATACTATTAACCACTTGCCCTCCTGAGGATTTATTCCCCTTTCCTGACCAGGTAATTGTTTGCGATACGGCACAAACTGACAACTGTGCGGTCATGCAACATTGTACATAAATTAAATTTATGTCCTGTTTCCCCACAAATAGAGCTTTCTTTCAGTGGTATTTGATCACCTGTGCATTTTTATTTTTTGCGCCATAAACAAAAAAAAATGACAATTTTGAAAAAAAAAAATCAATATTTTTTTACTTTTTGCTATAAAAAACTTGTCCAATAAAAAAAAAAAAATTTAAAAAATCAAATTTTGTCAAAAATACCAATACATGTAAATTAATTGGTTTATGTGAAAGTTATAGCTTTTACAAATGTGGTATAGATACTGGGATTTTTTTTTTTTACTAGTAATGGCGGAGATCAGTGACTTACTGCAGAACTGCGACGGGCATTCTGACACTGGGGGGGAACTAACTGCCACTGATATCCCCAATTATTTATTTCAGGTACTTATATTGTGCTGTCAATTTACACAGCGCTTTACATATAATTGTACATTCACATCAGTCCCTAACCCTCAAGGGGCGTACAATCTAAGGTCTCTAACTTACATTCATACAGACACATACTAGGGACAATTCACCTACCAGCATGTCTTTGGAGAGTGGGAGGAAACCAAAGTACCCAGAGGAAACCCACACAGGCACAGGGAGAACATGCAAACTCTAGGCAGGTGGTGTCCCATGGCTGAGATTCGAACCAATGACCCTAGTAATGCCAGGTGGAAGTGCTAACCATTTAGCCACTGTGCTGCCCAATGACACTAATACAGTGATCAGTGCTAATAAAAAAGCACTGACACTGTACTAATGCCACTGGGCAGGAAGGGGTTAACATCTGGCGAGATCAAAGGGTTAACTGTGTGTTGTGTGTGTTTTACTAGGGAAACAAGCTGCTTTGTATTGCTCTGCTGTGCTCACTGTTGATTCTGTTGCTAAAGCCACCCCTGCCTAAAGAGGCAGACTTCTGCAAATAAAGACAGCCTTGCATTGTTTGATAGCAGGGTTCTCTCTGCAGCTGACATGCCCACCTACTATGGCTTTGCAAACAGCAGGGGGGGCATTATGGATAAGTCAGAGATAAAGGACTTTGCAGCACAAACTAAAGGCTCATTCACAATACTATAGAGTTTATTTACTAAAACTGGAGAGTGCAAAAACTGGTGCAGCTGTGCATGGCAGCCAATCAGCTTCTAATTTCAACTTGTTCAATTACGTTTTGGCAATAAAACCTGGAAGCCGATTAGTTTCTATGCAGAGATGCACCAGATTTTGAACTCTCCAGTTTTAGTAAGTCAACCCCAATATATTTGATAATTTGTGTTGCTGCAGCATATGTGCTTTGCCATTAATTCCTATTGATCTCTCAATGCATATATACAGTCATGTAAAAAACGGGATTGTGGAAATTATGACATGACATGGTGTATCACAGTCATGATCTAAGTATTCCCAATGAAGTATTTCCTACAGAAAAAGACATTGCATTTACCACCTCTTAAAATTCATGAAATTAGAATTGGGTGTCCCATATTGGGTGCCATGCAGGTGGAACCCGTGTTAGTTAAACCTCAGATATCTAGGGCATGGCGTTTTCTTTGCTATTGATGTTTGTGGTGTCTTCATGCCAAGAGATAGACAAACGAAACCAGCGCTCCAATCTTCATGCAAACCAAGGAATTGCCAAAATGCCAATCGAAGAGGTGCTGCCCTTCTGAGATCGGGAAATCTAACCACTGGTAAATGAAAACAAACAAGGGCGCACTCTCATTGTGCATTACCCTGGTATACCACGTGATTTATTACATAAAAAAGGATGTATACTTGGTTTGTGAGTATACATCCTTTTTTATTTAATAAATCACGTGGTATACCACGGTAATGCACAATGAGAGTGCGCCCTTGTTTGTTTTCATATGTCTTCATGCCAAGACCAATAGAGAGCTCTAAGGCCCTCAGAAAGAAAGTTATGGATGCCTAAGATCTGGTAATGGATTTACAAAGATTGCCAAATAATATGAAAGCAATCATTCCACTGATAGCAAAATAATCTATAACTAGTGTAGATTTCAAATAACTGACAAGCTTGGCAAGTTGACTGATTCTAAAAAAAGAACTCCAACATTCAATTGCAAGGTGTTTGGATAATGTATGCAACAACTAGGGTCAAAGTGCATGCATCTGCAATCAGCAAGAGATTGCACCTATTCAAAATGCACGGGAGGTGTGTTAAGAAACAATCATTGATGTCCAAAAAACAAAAGAGCAAGATTACAGTTTGCATTTGAACATATAGGCCTTCTTGATCAAACACAGAGTTGTTTGGTCACAATACCAGTGGACATGTTTGTTGTAAATGAAAGCCAGTAGTTCAGGAGAACCACCTAATAACAACTGTGAAGCATGGTGGTGGAAATGTTATAGTTTGGAGATGCTTTGCTGCTTCAGTCATCAAGTAAACAATAGGATCTGCATCACATCGAATGTGCTTTTGAGAATGCCTTATGTCCAAACCTGAAGTTGAACTAGATATTAGTCTTTCAACACAATGATCCAAAGCACACTAACAATTCCACCAAGGCCCCCCAAAAAAAGAAGAAATAGAGAGTTATGGGACTGCCTTATTCAAGCCCTGATTTGATTCCCATTGAAATGTTGTAGGGGGATTTTAAAACAAACAGTTCATCCAATGAAACCTACAAACATTTCACCGAGTGTGTTAGAGACTGCTGGGCAGTTACACAAAAATGCCTATAAGAAGCCATTTTTGCTACAGGGGGCACGATCAGGTTTTGATACAAGGTGCGTATATTTTCCATAGTACGCCATTATATATGTAGAGATATTTTTGTACAATAAATAATGAAAAAGGCAAATCTTTCTTCTCCTTTAAATCTAACCACTGTTTGAATGCAGATCAAATGTTTGCCTGTTCAAAAACAAAAGAGCCAACAATTTCCATAGGTTTTACCAAATTTTTCACATGACTGTACATTGAAAAAAATGGCCCCACCTTTGCTACAGTGCACCACTACACACAAATGCTTGGTGGGTGTACTATCTATTAAAATTGTGAAGGTTCAATTTTTAATGTATTGGAGGCTTATTCAACAGGTATCAAGGGCATATTAACTTCACATCAACAAAGCATGGGTGATGTGAACGAGCACTAATATTTCTTTTTGGTACCCAAATATTTCAAGTTGATACAACTGTGCAAAAAAGCATTAGTGTAGGAAAAAACTAAGGTTTGTAGGTTGTTTCAGGAACTGTAAATGATATATGCAGGCAAAATAATAATACCATGGGTTTTTGTTTTACCATAGGTCTGCTTTATTTAATAGCAATCAACATATTCAGTGAATTCAGGTCAGATATGTGAGAAAGGATTAAAAACCAAGGAAGAAAAAAAAAAACACAGGAACATTTGTTTCACCACCAAAATATATTCTTAGTAAGACACTACAAGTCCCAGCATCTTCTGAAGGACACACTGGGAACTGAATCTTTCCAATGGCTCAAGTGGCATTGGTTGGCTGCTCAATACTGGGAGTACGATTCAGTATATTACAAGTTCCACTTATGTCAGTCATGTCATACTGAAAGCTTCAATCTTGAAAGCATTTTTGCAATAAACAGAATGAAAAATTTGTATAACCATCAAAGTGTATCCCAAGTTAAAACATTTCTTTTTTCTTTCTGGATAAAGCTGGGACGGGCAGTCTAAGTACTGTCAGGGAGATTTCCTTCCCTTCCTGTCCTGAAGACACAAACAAAAATTGCTACCTGAAGTGTCCCCCATTGTAAGATTTTCTACTACCGTGTTTCCCCGAAAATAAGACATCCTCCGAAAAGAAGACCTACTTACAGGTTTCCTTCTGGGTGAAATATAAGGCATCCCCCCGAAAATAAGGCCCCCCTAGCTCTGTCTCGTAATGAAAATTAATTTACCGTAAACTGGTTGCTAGGGCCGCCCCGACTGGCGTCTAGCAACCAGTGACATCACTGCTGTGGGAGGCGGAGCAGAGGTCGAAGTGAGCGGGAGAGAGATGCGTGTAGAAGAACAGGAGGATCAGAGCGGACGGGACGCGGCCAAGGTGATGAGTGCTGGTCTGTCTCTGGTGACACCGCCCTCATGATGACTGAAGGTTCTCAGTCAGTGGCAGACCCTGCTCCAGCCCAGGTCCAGGCCCCAGGCAAGCCCCGGGGGGGAAATGTCTGATAAAGGGGTGGGGGGGATGTCTGGTGAAGGTGTTCAGTGGCACAGGGGTGGGGGGGGGGGGGATCACTTAAAAATGACACAGGAGGATCAGAGGGGACAATCAAAATGACACAGGAGGATCAGAGGGGGCAATCAAAATGACACAGGAGGATCAGAGGGGGCAATCAAAATGACACAGGAGGATCAGAGGGGACAATCAAAATGACACAGGAGGATCAGAGGGGACAATCAAAATGACACAGGAGGATCAGAGGGGACAATCAAAATGACACAGGAGGATCAGAGGGGGCAATCAAAATGACACAGGAGGATCAGAGGGGACAATCAAAATGACACAGGAGGATCAGAGGGGACAATCAAAAT